CATCCCCATGGAAGGGCAGCAAACGAGGTTGCTGCAATTAGTCTTATGTACCCTAAGAATCCCACCTGTGAAACTGTAACGAAAGCAAAGCATTCATATCTATATCTTCCACTCGAGCGAACTTAAACACAACTGCTAAATGTGTGTATTATGGACAAGCAATCATCTATGTAATCTATGTAATACCTCCGACTAGCAAACTGTACCTAAACACACACACACGTAGAAACTATATCGAAAAACTCTCAAATGTTACTCCCTTCCTGCTGTTTTTCCACCCACGTATTTGTATCATTTTTATGTGAACAGTTCTCAAGTGTTGCTATTTTAGTGAACAAACGAATCATATACAAAGTTTGATTAGCGTAAGTTAAAGGCACCAAGACAAGAGATGCTTATTTAAAGTATTTATACTAAACCAAGGCACACAATTTGCATATTTACGAACGTACGTGTAAACAATCAAAAACCAAAGCAATTCGCAAAACCAAAGGACATTTTAACGCAATGTAGCAGCTGTCATGCGTTTTTTGAAACAAGTATTATAATTGTTTTATCGCATTGGCTTTAGCTTAACAATTTAGTGAAGACGTTTAAGTCGACCAAGCACTCAGATAAATAATAGATGCAACTACACCGTTACACAATAAAAGTTGATAATGAAAGAAACACTGTCTTTTTTCTATTTGCTGCTTTTGAGCTTTGAAAACTCTATAAAGAACAATCCTGTATTGTATCTTGTTTTTCATAGGACTGTCAAACTATCGAAGCAAGCTGTTTAAGAAAATTATGGATATATCACTAACTCAAAAGAAATCGAGTTGGCGCCTAAAACAACTGCAGTGTGACCAGCGGAATATCATTACCATAGACCTTGCCGGAAAATCCCGCAAAACCGTCTTATCGATATCGCAGTGACAATCGGGGCGGACCGAAACCCACCACTAGCGCTATCGATAGTTTGACAGACCTATGTTTTGGTCTTAGAAAAAAGAATTTCATTAAATTGCAAAGAATATAATGTTGATACTGAGCTAACCTGTGCCCCGCCTCCGCCCCCGTCGTCCGTCAACAGCCAAGTCCATTCTCCGCTTCAACCAAGTCTACATGGACGCTCCCCCGCCGACGAAGCCTCCGAGGGGAGTGAAGTACGGCAAGGATGAGGTAAATTACTTCAAACCGTCGCTGAAAATGGTTTTCAATTCGCGAACCAGCCTCCCACTGCAATAAATTTAATGGAAATCCCCATCTGGTTGTGTTTTGTTTGTTAACTAATGGTTTTTCATGCCCGCTGCCCGAGTTGCGGCTCCAAAGATGATGACGACACCATCTGGTTGTTGTTGTTGCTGCACGCCCTCTTTTTGTGTTTTACGATAAGTTGTTATTGGTAGATTAATAATGAAAGTATGTGTGTGTTTAATAATAGTCCGCAGGATGTGGCTTTCTGGTCAACGTCATTAAATCTCTGGGATTCAGCGAGACGACCGAGGAACGCCAGAAAGAGAAGCAGAAGATCGAGCAGGAGTTCAAGCGCTCGGATCTGCGGCTGAACGAGCTGGTTTCGCGTCACGACCAGCAGCTGACCCTGGTGCTGCCCCTCTTCAGTCAGGTATCCACGGAGGTGACCGCCAGCCGGGAGCGGATCCATGCGGTCAAGGAGAACCTCGGTGCCTGCAAGAGGCTGCTGCAGTGCCGACGCGATGAGCTTAAGAAGATGTGGACGGACGCAGTGCAGCACAAGTATGTGCTAGAGATGCTGGAGCAAATGTAAGATACTCTTGGAAACGCCTAGGACTCTGATTAATTGCTTAATTTATTTCCAGTCAGGAACTGCGCAAAGTGCCACAACGGGTGGTCAGCTATACCGCTAAGCGTCAGTATCTGCACGCCAGCAAGGCCCTAACCGATGCCTTGGCTACACTCAATGGGCCCTTGCAGGCCGTCGAGGGCTTGTCTGATCTGAGGGCCGATCTGCAGACGCGTCGCCAGCAGCTGTACCAGCGACTGCACGAGGAACTGGTCAGCCAGGTGTACACCAATTCCGCCAACGAAGCCTTCTCCACGTTCCAGCGCAGCAACTCCAGCCGCTTGAACTCCAGCTTCACTCGGGGAATCGGGGCTCGCCGCTCCACGGATCGCATCGAAGCGAACGCTCGAGTGCGCAAGGCTCTGGCTGAAATGGCACAGAACTTTGATTTGGACAAGGCCGAGGTCATCGAAGATGCAGATCTTATTTACCCAGAACTGAGCATGAGCTACTTCGTGGCCATCATTGTGGAGTCCTTTGGAATGCTGCACAAGGTGCCCGATTCTCTGGAAACGCTGCGCGTTCAAATCCAAACGGAGCTGCTGAACGTGGTGCGCCAGACAACGCAGCAGCTTTCGCTGAGCGGTGAAACGGGAGAGGGTAATCCGCTGCTCATGCTGCTCGAGATCATATTCAAGCAGTTCAAAGCTATTGCCAAGACTCATACGCTTCTGCTAAAGAACTACCTGTCGGTGGGCCAGAAGTACTCCGTGGTGGGACCCCAACCTTATGACCTCACGGACTTCTGGGCCCAGGCTCAGTCGGTGGTAATTTACAAAGAACTTTAGTTAAGATTCTTGGCATTTAATATATATTTTTATTCTTCAAGTTGCAACTCCTGCTCACCGACTACTTGGACATACAGAATGCTGCCTCGGAGGAGAGTGCCCAAACGGGTTTTTCGGAGCCGTCAAGCAACATAAATTCCTATTTTCTAAGGCGTAAAGTGCCAAGGTAAGCTTATAGTCTCCTAAATTTGTATCTTTAATTAATAAGCTTCTTTCAGCACGAAGCGCTCTATGTTCAAGTTCGACAAGTCCTCGCATGTGGGCGGTGGCAGCAGCAACAATGACTCCTTCAAGGAGCATCGTCGCAACGCATCGGATGCCTCTGTGGATGATAATTTGGGCGCGCAGCTTGGGGGCAGCGGCAAGGGCTCAACCAGTGGGCTCTTTCCTCACGAGAAAAAGCAGAGGGAGAAGCTGCTGATATGCACGCCGGATCAAAGTATCATAACCAAAGTGTATCTGCCTCTGATGGGATACATCAAGGAGATCGAGAACTTTATGAAGTGCAAGCCAGGGTGAGTAGCAAGTCCTTAAAATCGACTTAAATGTATATTTATTCCTGCTTCCAGTCAACCCTGCAGTCTGCATGACTTTTTAGACAACTATATTAAGGACACATTCCTATCGAAGGGCCACAACCGAAACCTGCAGCTGACCATCGAGTCGCTGTCGAAGAATCAGGACGCATGGCGCACTATTATAAGTCCGGAGGAGATAAAAACACTCAACCTGAGCAGGCCTCTGCTGCAGTCAACTGTGATGGTCGAGCGACGGCTCATGGAGACAAAGAACCTTATCCAGGACCTGCCTTGCTACTCGGAAGACCTGCTTAAGATGGTCTGCGCCCTGCTGAAGGCCTACAGAGAGATTTGCCAGGCTGCCTACCGGGGAATAGTGCAGCCAGATTCCGAGGACAAGAGGATATACAGCGTTGCCTGGCTAAAGGACGAAGACATTAGTAGATTCTTAAAGCAAGTATTACACTTAAATACAGCTTTGACTTTATTTTGATCCCAATCTCTAATCCCCTAGAACGCTGCCCAACTGGACGGACTTGAAGACCTCCAGCCAGAAATCGCGTCACAACCGAAAGCTGCATCGGGGCAGTTTCGAGCCTTCGGAGGAGGAGAGTCCCTTGCAGGTGCAGCAACGCAACGTCCGTGAGGCCGAAATGCTGACCAGCAACTTGGGCGAGGGTGGGATCACCCAGCAGGAGATTCTGGTCGAGATTAGTGTGCTCAAGGAGCTGGCCATACTGCAGGAGAGCATGGAGTGGTTCTCGTGTCGCGTCTCGGAGTTCGCCAATGATCTACGTCGCCCCATGGTGAATGGACTGAACGCCGTCTCCGCCGAGTGCAGCGCCGATATTGCCGTAAAGGATGGAACGATCAAGGTGTTGACCAATCTGGCCTTGGAGTTTGACGAATTGGCAAACACTTGCCTGTTGGTGCTGCATCTGGAGGTTCGCGTCCAATGCTTCCACTACCTGCGCTCCAAGTCGAGTGTGCGGACCAACAGCTATGTGGGGTCCAAGGATGATATTCTAGAGCCGGATCGGCAGGTGCAGGTGCTAACCAAGAGATTGTCGGAGATGGATGAGGCCTTTAGCGCCACTCTACATCCAAGAAAGACCAGAGTAAGTGATCTATTTTGTCAGATGTGTTGTCATTCTTAACTCTTTGGGTTTCCTTCAGTACATTTTTGAGGGCCTGGCTCACTTGGCGTCGCGCATCCTAATCCAGGCCTCTAATTACCTGGAGCACATCGATCAAATAACTGTCCAACGCATGTGCAGGAACTCGATTGCCCTGCAGCAGACGCTGAGCAACATAACTGCCTCCAGGGAAGTGGCCTTGGATCAGGCCAAGCACTTTTACGAGCTGCTTTGCATGCAGCCAGATGTGAGTATTTTCTTTAAATATATTTAAATTGTAGCATTCCTTATAATGTGCATTAATTTACAGGAGATATTGAATGCATTGTTGGAGCGAGGCACACAGTTCTCGGAGATGCAGCTGCTCAATGCCCTGCAGTTGTCCTGCAAGTCCTTTGGCATAACTGACGCCAATCAATTGGCTTCCTATCAGCAAAAGCTATCCGATATACTGGGCGCCAAGCCCTCCAAAGGTGTTGTTGTGTAATTAAAGCTGCAGCCAGCCGGCAGAGAGATCAATTTGAATACCCATAATGTTTGTATACATCGGCATTAGGTGTAAGTGCAAAGTGTGCGTGTTAAGTGTTAAGCTCAAAATGAGGATGAATGTTCTGAACATATTTGGGGAGCACTTGGTGTTGCGATAGATACATATTCTAAAGTTCATTAACAGGTACTTTAATGGCTTATACACAATAAATGAGAATTTAACAACGAAGTTCGAGTAAAGTTTATTTATGGCAGTATTTATTAAGAATTCCTTAGCATTAAATTCGATCACTGCGATGGCTGTTCGCGATGCTTGCCCAGGACATGACGCTTCAGGTGGTGTTTCTCCCGAAAGTCCTGAAGGCAGACCAGGCACTTGTAGGGCCGCTCGTCTGAGTGACGGCGCCGGTGCTTGGCCAGGTTATTATTGTCGGAGAAGGTCTTGGGGCAGTGTGGGCATTGGTAGGGCTTCTCGCCCGTGTGCGTCCGGATGTGCACTTTGAGGGCCTGCTTCGAGCGAAAGTTTGAGGTGCAAATTGGACACCTATGCGGTCGCTCATCCAGGTGGGCATTGATGTGAACATTGAGCGACGCCTTGTTATCAAATCCAGCACGGCACATGGTGCATTTGTGGGGACCGATCGCTAGCTGGCCGGATTCGTCTGCCGGGTGAATCAACAGGTGGACTTTAAGATAGTGATTGTGGGTGAAGGTTTGCGGGCAATGCGGACACTCAAAAGGTCGCTTCTTCATCGGCTGACATTTGTGTATGTCCAGACCACGGGCAGTTGAGAAGACCTTTAGGCAAACAAGACACTCAACAGAGGGGTCGCTGGAGTTGAAACACGAATGCTTATCCAAGTCGGTCTTCAACAGAAAGGGCTCTCCGCAGGTTTGGCAAACGCTGGTATTTTTGTGAACTCTGCGAATATTTATATAAAATTAAAATATGTTTATAAAATTAAAAAAAATACATATCCTTACTTATTATATTCCAACAGGTTCTCTTGGTGCTGAATACCCTTGATGGACTCAGTTCTTGGCTCTTGGGTCTTCTTTGTCAGTCTTGTTTGCCTAGCAACCTGTTTCGGCAGTTCTACTTTGGCACATTTCCTTTCGGGGCTTATTTCCACCCGCATCTTCAATTCCACAGCCTTGTCGTACTGCTCCTGGTTGGTAAAATTATCTCCGGGGACTTCCAACTCCTTCTTGATTTCCGGCTGATTGGCAATCGCCAAGTAGAATTTCTGATAGCTTTGTTCGCATCTGCGCTTAAATCTATAAGCTATTTGAGCGTCCTGGATGCAGTTCCTGCAGATTTTCTGTGGCAGTTGATCTCCAGGATCTATGTGAACTTCGGCGCACTTTGTTACCATGTCGGCGAGATTGGGTTCCACTTCGCCTTTGAATTGGCGTCTTTGGCGCTGGTCAAAAATACCCACCAAGGTAAGGGAGTGAGTGCCACATATTCGACACAGGTTCTCCATTATTTTAATGTAATTAAATTTGTTAATTTGTTATTTATATCTTTTTTACTTTGGACAAATTGTATGATGCTTTGTTTGTTGCTTGTCGGAAGCTTAATAGCGATGGAAGTTCTGAGCGTGACTGGTCGCAGTTCCTTAAAAAAACTCACGGCTTATCATTTCTTTATAATAAAACGTTGCTTAATAACTTAAGTATTTTAAATTTGTTATTAACTTGGCTTACTTGCTTTAATAACAATCTAATTTGTATACATTTTATACAAAATTCGAAGCTGTTTTTAAACTTAAATATCGATAACTCTTTCCTTAATCGCAAACAGAAATTTTAAATGTCCCGCCTTGTAAGAACTTAAGCTCAACTTACTTATTTCATTTGTGTAATAATAAGCATTATTTCCACGGTATTATTAAGCTCATAATCAAGCAGGAAACATCATTCAAGCTACTGTTAGACGGACTTTGACCTTCCAAAAACTATTACATCATATTAAAAAGGAGAGAGTATCTACTAATTCTTAAAACTGGAGTAGGAAAACCTAAATAGTGATAGTATTTAAAAATTTGCTAATGAAGTTTTAAACGGTGCAGTGTAATTTATCCTCCAACTCCCAAAAACTTTTAAACGAACTTCAGTTCTCTGTTTATTTATTTCAAACATGCTTAACTAAGCGTGATTACAATGTTAACTATTTTATTAATCTTTATGACACGGCGAAATTAACAAACAAGTCAAAATAAATAATAAACAGGTAAAAACTCTGCGTTCAGGGATATAAAATAAGAAATTTGTTTTTTTTTTTAAGTCTTCTATTATAATTGATTATAATTTTAGTCAGAAGTTTGTAAAGCGTTGAATTTTAATACCCCTTTTAAGCTATTATAATTTTAGTCAGAGAAGAAGTCATTTCATAAGAAGAGTTTCAGTTAAACTTGGATCAAATTCGAAATAATTTCTTTAAAAATATATCAAACCCATCGAAGGTACTAAGTGTTCAGCCCAAACACTTTTAGTATTCATGCTAAAATAGCATTGATCTTCGTCCCTTATGTTTACAGTTAGCTAAAGGTGCGAATTTCTATATATTGAGAGCCGTGAATTTTTGTATCTCCGCCTGTTTTTAGATTGTTTTTTTTTTACGAAATAAGCTGACTCAAGAAACCGGCTTACCTGCGAGAATGTCGAAGAGAGGTGGTAAAACAGCTCACCTCTGTCCAGTTCGGTGCTGGCCGAAATTAAGCACCGAATGTGACAAAACGGCGCTCAGTTGTTGAACTAAAATCGAGTCCGACGGTCGCATAAACTTGGGCTTGGCATTCGTCGAAGGCAGGCCAAACAGCGGACACACAAACCTTCATTCTCGCACCCATCGAAGGAAGGCCAATCGATTTACGCAGATAAAGCCAACAATATATTGGCCAAACATGTTCAGGTTAACCACTGCCTTAAGTCTTCTGCTCCTGATCCTGAGCTGTGGCTGGGCGGAGAAAGAGGAGAAGCCCCGGGAAAAGCGTCAGGCAAATAAGGTTTGATTGATTTTTTAAAACAAAGGAGAAGTAACATGTTGAAGAAACATAAAATAAAGAAAGGAATACTATTAAAAATATTTTCCCAAAAGGTCCTATAACCTTTTTTATTTTTTCTTATGGCTTTAAATTAATAAATTATTATATTCTTTTGAATATTCAATAATTTTTAAGAACCTAATTTACATTGAATGAATAATTAAGTGGAGTTTTGACTTCTTTAACCTTCTTAACCTTTCAGAAAGTTCTGAGATAAAAAAGATCTTAAGAAATTAAATTAATACTTGTTAACCTTTGATCTAAATTTTTAAAATTCTCTTAATAACATTTAATCTTATTCCCCAGATTCACATAACGCTGCTTTACGAGTCCCTTTGTCCTGACAGCAGGCAATTCATGCATCAACTGGGTCCCGTGTACGAAGAGTTCCAGGATTACATTGACATTCTGCTGGTGCCCTTTGGAAAGTCACATTCCGAGCGAAATGGAGCAATCTTCCACTGCCAGCATGGACCGCCCGAATGCTTGGGGAATCGTCTCCAGAGTTGCGTCATCAACAGCACCGGAAACCAGGCGGCGCAGGTGAAATTCGTGGTGTGCCAGATGCTGGCTCCGGACTACTCCCGCGTCGATCAGGTACTTTCACCTCTGCTGGTGTTTGCCCCGCTAATTAGCGGCTATTGTCCGGAAATCTGTAATAAAAGTATATCCCTAAAACTGTTTGCAGTGCGCCAGAGAGGCGGGTCTGCTTAGCGACGTTGACCACTGCCTGTCCATTGAGACGGGCACCAAGCTGCAGCTGCAGGCGGAGCTGGTGACCAAACAATACAGGCCAAGCTTCGTTCCCACCATCGTCTACAATGGCGTAAGTACCAGCGATCGATCGCGCCCGTAATCGAATGCATTTAACTGGTTTTTTTGGATTCGTATTCGTTTCGTTTCGTTTCCACATGCAACAGGTCTTCGATCAGCAGCTGCAGGACCATTCGCTGCGCGATTTCCGCGGCACGGTGTGCCATGTGTTGCGTCAACAAAACTTGCTGCCCAACAGCTCTGCAATCTGCGAGTAGATCTGCTAAATGTTCACTGTAACCGCCGCAAGATTGGAATGAAATTAAAATTCACTAACTGGTTTCTGCGACCGAACAAGAATATCTCACTAGGGAGGAATGGGAAACATATTTCTGAATTAAAACGCAAAGGTCAAAGAGAGAAAATAAAGCAAAATAAAATTTAAATTGGTTTAAATAGTTTAAAGAATAGTACTTTCTGCATTTTGTTCATATTTTCTCTCTCTGTGAGCCAGACCTCGTTTAGATAATAATTTATATTGATACGTAAGATAGATTTCATCAAATACAATCGTGTATATATTATATAGTACATGCAGTGCATAGGGCTTCTAATTTATTTACAGGGGCATACAATATAAATTCATTATTTTTGGAATGGGGGGGCGGGGACACATACATAGTGATGATGGGGGAATATCGTTAGGCTTTCCTCTCAATGAACCAACAACAAATGACTTAACGGCTACTTGCTAATGGATAACCTACAACTAGGATTTCAATTTCTTGCACTTTTTGTGTGTTTGCTGTGGTCGCTGACGGGTGTGCAGAAATAACAATTTGTAGACGACGGATTGCCGTTGTGTTTAAAGCATTTTCCTCCTCAGACGGCCGTGCCCGGTGCCTTGCCAGCGGCTGGTGTCGCTGGGGCGTTGGCGGTGGCCAAATTGAGACTGAGCGAGCGACGTGGTGCTGGCTTTGGTGGAATCTGCGGCTTGACGGGCGCTTTCTTGGCCAGCGTTAGGCTGGCTTGGCTAACTAGAGCCTGCTGCACCGGTCGCTCCTTCTCCTGGAACTCCACATAGCCGCTCTCGTCGCTGTCCGAGCCGTCATCGGGATTGATTTGGTCGTTGTGCTCCTGCTTGTCCAGTTCATCGCTGCCGGAGTCGCTGCGCTTCAGCGTAATGCTGCTGGAGCTGCTGTAGTTGGTGGCATCGCCACTATTGTGGCGCAGCTGCTGCTCCAGTCTTTGGTAGATCATCATCTGCTCCAGCACCTGCGCCTGCTCCAGCTCCAGCTGCGACTGCTCCAGCTGATCGCTGTCCCTCTTTCCGTTGTACTCCTCGTGGTTGGCATTGGTGACTGTGCTGGCTGTCTCGCAGCCACTGGATATGGATCCCTCGTCGCTGTCGGGACTGGCCAGGCCCTGCTGAGCGGAACCGACGCCTGCTGCCGCCGAAGTGCTGGCCGTCGTCGAGCTGGAGGCGTTCGAGGAGATCGATGACTGCGCCTGGTGGCGGTACTGCATGCTGGCCTGATCGCTGGCCCGCATCTTCCTCATCGAGCTCCGGTGCAGCATGGTGAGCATGGCCGCATGCCGGAAGTAATGATCGTCCGCATCGTCGAGGAAATCCTCCTCGCCGTCACTGCAGACACCGTTGCGACGCGGAGCGGTCACACCGTGATCTTCGGCGGAGTAGTCAGCCTCTGGATCTGCGCTGGGGTCGCTGTTGATCGTGGGCAGCAGGCTTAGTGGCTCTCCATCGTCCTCCTTCAGGTCGCTGAGGCTCACCATGCTCTGGCTGCCGTTCTTGTGCAGCTGCATGTCGAAGTACGGCAGCAGTTCATTGCTCAGGGTCGTGTCAAACTTGAGCAGCTTCTCGAAGTCATCCGAGTCGGAGCCATCGTTGACAGCACTGACGGCGGTGGTCTCCTCCTGGGGCAACTCCTTCGCCATCATATGCGAGCTGCAGCAGGGCGACGAGGGCAAGATCTTTCCCGTTCGGCGGATTGAGTGCCCGCGACGACAACGACGCCGGCCCAGAGTCATGGCCGGGTACAGCGAGTCCTTCTGACAGCAGGGCATCATTTCCGGCTCGTTGGTATCTTCGATTTCATCGCCCTCCTCCTCGCCGATGGCCTCCTCGATGGCCATCAGCTTAGGCGCCGACTTGGAGCGCTCCAGGGGCGGTCGATAATTGTTGCCGCCCACACTCAACATGATCTTGCGGCGCGGGAGGCTAGGATTGTCATAGACGGCATTGGCCAGGCTGAGGCGAGCGTTTTGCTTTAGAATTTTCTCACGTTTAAATTCCCGCAAAGCGCTGTCAAGGTTTTCCTATAAAAGAAGAGAAGGTTTTTAGATTAGAAACTGATCTTGAAATGCCCATAATCTCTGTATATTTTCCTTAATCAGGTTAGTCAAAGTGGTAATGACTTTACGCTTAATTCGAGGTACATAATTGCAGAACGATAAGAATACAAATAACAATTTGGTCATGGCTATTTTTGTATTTTGAATAGAGTTATGGTAGCACTCGAGTCTTATCTGCTGAGGTGTTTATGGATTTATGTAGAGAGAAACCCCAACTCACCCTCAGAGTGTCGCAGATGTCCTGGGCAATCTTCTCCTTGCTGCAGAGCACCGCATGGCAGCGCAGCTCGTGCTTGAGCTTCCTGCCCTCGTGGCGGTAAATCCAGCAAAAGACCCGCGGATAGTTCTTCGGCGCACAGCAGTAGGTAATGCGGTGGGCCCAGTACTCCGTCAGGCCATGCTGCCGGGTGGTGGCCTTCAGCCCAGAGGCGCACACCTTCAGCCGCATAATCACGTCCGGCTTGGAGTGCTGCGTGTAGTTCCGCCACAGGGTGTTCAGCTGCTTCTCCACACAACCCTCGCCTGCTAAAAGTACAATTATTAGAGGGGATTCTCTTGGTTAAACATAAGATCTCTGTGACTCACCCTTGGCCCAACCGGTGAGGACGTTACCCAGGTACGAGACCTTGAACTCGGGATCGGGTGTGCTGATATCCACACTGTGGGTGCGCCTCCAAAGCTTCCCCAAGCTGCGGGTCAAGGTGCGAATGGTCTTTGAGCTTAGCTGATCCTGGGTGCCGGAGCGACCCACATGCTCCTGCCGGCTGCCGTAGAGCAGATCCCGCGAGTCCGTGGTCAGAGTCACCACGTTCGTGATCTGCACGGAGTCATCGCCGCCGGCCACATCGCCGTCCTCCTTGGACACCCGCTTGAAGCGCTCTAGGTAGGGACCCGCTCGTCCCCGCCGCCCGCTGTAGGTGTTGAACTTGCCACCCTCGGCTCCGGCACCGGCCAGGCGCTTCTGCTCCTGCTTCTCGAACTTCTTGGCGTTGTAGGTGTTGCCCAGCAGCCGAGCCAGGCTGTTGCTCTTTACAAACTTGTGCTGACGCGGCGGAGTTCCAATGGGCACCGGCGGAAGGGGAGCGGAAGTGGCTGTGGGTGTGGGTGGGGCTGTGGGTGTGGGTGGGGCTGTGGCTGGGGGATTTTCCTTGCCGCCCGTCTCCTGCTGCGACTCCTGTGACTTGCTCTGACTCAGCTTCTTGCTGCTGCCGAAGTGGAACAGAGTGCGGCGCTCCTTGGCCTTCTTCAGTGTGCTGGTGTTTGGCGTTGGTTCGTTGTTTGGTGTTGTTGCTGTTGGTGTTCCTGTTGCGGGTGGAGCTGTGGCTGCTTTGGTGTTGATCACCGCTTGACTCACGCCGCCCAGATCCTCGTATTCATTGTTGTTGTTGTGGTGGTGGTGCGTGGCTGCTATAAAGTCCACCTCATCGCATCCCTCCATCGGAGACTGGGGGCTGGTACTGCTGCTGCTGCTGCTGCTGGCTGCCATTTTAAGGATTGCTTTTGATGTAACCGATCAATATCCGTTGGCTACACACATGATAACACGGAATATCTGTAAGATAAAAAGGGGGAAATGGAGAAATAAAATTAGCATTGGCCCATTAAAAATACGAAAAAGGCTGGAATCGGTCTGATAAAGAAATTAATGGCTCAATAATCGCATTTGGGAAAATTAGCAAACTAAATTAGCACAATTCAAATTAACCGCAGCCCAAAAAGGGGAAAATTACCCTGAGAGCCAAAAGTTTCCATTTGGCTAATCAAAATACAACTAGTTTTTTGTTTCATCTTAAATGTAGCAATTAATATTTGTACCTTACTTTCTTCGGGCAATTTAAAAACGAGCGTTGAGAGTGTTAAATTTCAAATTAAACCCACACTTTCACCCATCATTGGGCATTATGTTCGCCAATTCACACCCGATTCAGAGAGTACCTTTCCGCAACTGCGGCCAAAAAGTGTCAACTGACTAATAAATTACCTCATGATTAACACTCGGCAGCAGCTGTAAAATGTTTTTTAACTCCAGTCCTCCGGTCTCGTGCTTTTTTTCTCACAGCTTACACAGTGTATGCAAATGTTGACGGAATTATAATTACTATTTCTGTATCGCTTGGGGTTAGCTGGAAAATGCCACACGGCGCTTCAGTGAGCCCTCAGCTCTTGTGCATTTAACATTTTCACATTATTTAGATAGCGAATTGTTTGCTAAAAAGCCAGTTAAAGATGCAGCTATCAAGAGTCATTAACGGCGAGTATTAAATGCTTGAAAAGCACTTAGACGGGGCACTATTGTGGGGCGACACAGCCGCTTGCTTGACTGGTTACATTTTCCATTCGTTACCTGGCTATATTTAGTCTGAGTGGTAATTGTTTGAGAAGCGCAATTAGGCACAAAAAACACACCTCTGTTGCCCCGTTAGGGCCCGACACTGAACTAAACTCTACCGAAGGCAGGCAGGCAGGAAGGCAGCCTTCTGATCGACTTAATCACTCACGTAGCCGCGGCCTATCTGCAATTAAAAGCACCAAGTAACCTCTAGTTAGGAGGCCGATATCCATCACTTTCGCGTCTAATCTAGACGGCCCGCCTTAGCCGACTGCAGGTAACAACGGTCTGGTTATCTAATCGAGTTGGTTATTTCGCATTTGGCGTGTGACTTTGATTTTTATGGCCCAACCAGCCATAAAGCTGCACAGAATCGTGCTCGTGATTTAGAAATATAAATATTAAACTTGGGTTCTGTTCTGCGGAATGGAATTTATGGTAATTTGTGGCCCCAAGTGGCCAGCCACTGGCAGGCATAGCGAATTCATAGGAAGTGGATACCCAATATGATATGCAATACTCAAATCAGATAGCTGTACACAGAAAACAAATGGATTGGATATAAATCAACAGAAGAACAAGAACCTTAAGTTAAGATTTGGAAACTCTTTGAAATATGTATTCAGCTTTTCAAATATTTTTATATGTTTTCATTCGTTTTATGTTTAATATAATTACAAACAAATTTTACACATAAAGAAACTCTAATAACCCTTCATAATATAACCATTTTCCACTGATTTGAATTTTTTCCCTCGTGTAGTCAACACTGCCCAGCCTCCTCGGCCTCGAACAAAAGGCAATTGGTCAGGTCTATGGCTATATCATTAGCCGTTTTTCATATGCAATGACCTTGGCTGTCTGCAGGTGTCTTTGGGGAGTCAATAAAGTTATGCTGGCTTTCACTTTTCCGTGTGCCTTTGCCGCTGCTGCGACTTGGATCTCCGTTTCCATCTACGTTTGTTTGTGTGCCTTTGTCGTATGTAAATGTCAACCCGAGCCGGGGCTTCTCCATTCATAGATCCAAACACAAATATGAGAAAGCCCAGTAGTAGTTTTTGCCACCCCCAACCATCGAACTGGGATCCCTTGGGGCAATGACATCGCCATATAGCCATATAGTCATCGTGGTTCGGTTTCTCCGACGCTGCCGCTGCGATCAGCGCGATGTAAAAGAAGGTAAAGAAAGCGCGCTGAATTTGTAAGAAAAGGTAAACGGACAAAAAGTTTAACGAAAAAATATATACATATGTAATAAAAAAAAATAAAAAAAAAAAACTAAGTAATTGTTTTGTGCGGGGCCCTGCCCTGCCCCACCCATTATCATTTATGCTTCTCCTACTGCTTCTGCCTCGACTGGCGTTTCCCCTTTGTCCATAATTGCCAGCTTCGCTTTGTGCGTGAGCGCGCATTTTAAAAGCCCAACAACTCACATTAAACGAAATACGAAAATTAAATAAAGGCCGGTACAAAATCGTATAAGAAAAATACACTTTGTGTGCGAAATAATGCAAAAAGCGTAGTGAGGAAGTGTCGCCAGGTGGACAATATGGTAATCAATCCAAGACCTCGAGAGAAATTTAACTACTTCCTCTCCAGCTACTCGGACTCCCAATGATGATGTGATTTGTGGCGAAGAACTTCTGTTCAATAAATATTTAATGACATGAAAGTGACACGGTAATTTTCTAAAAAAAAAAAATTAAATGAAACATTTCTCTGCCATCATTAATAAAAACTTTTACTTAATACAACACTTCGGCGCGTGTTTCTGCTACTTTTCCCTTGACTTTGAGTTTGAGTTGCCTTTTGATTGATCATCATAGCATCTTATAATTAGGTAAACGCTTTTAATTTATTTATTTGATATTTATATTTCTATTTCTGGGCCCCAGACGCGTTCTTTTGTCCAGGTTCCGAGCGCAGACAATGGCTGCGATGAGAGAAACTGCCAAGTCATTTATCAAAATGTTAAAAATACATTCGGTGTTATTCTTTTTATTTTTTGACTGTTAACAGCTAAATTTGTTTAAGCTTGCTTCCCAAACGAGAGCTGGAATCGCCGGTGTCTTTCCCAGGCTGCTTAAAATGCAAAAGCCACAGAAACAACATCGGAGTTATTTGTTTAGAGTCCAAACACTTGAAAGTTCTCAATAGGCCAGGCCGCGGAGTTGAACACAAAATGCAATTTATTATTGTTAAGAGCTAACCGACGAGGGCCCGCTGTGGGTATACAGTGAAACATGGTTAAGAAGGAACATGTGTAACTTGCAAAAATACTAACTTAGATTTATTAAATCTTACTTTAAGGGAAAGAATGCTGGTAAAGTGTTTATTGAGTGTTATTTCATTTTATTTAAATAAATGTATTTACTTTTTATACTCTAAAATTATCTAGACAGGACACACAGAAACAAGAAAGAAAACTAAATTGTAAAACTGAAATTTCTATACCATTACAACTGGCAATAGGATTCTAAAAATCGATCATAATTAAGCTAAAAATGCATGCGTTAAATTCAATTCGGAAAGCGTTTCTGTGTTAGTTTTTTATAAGGTTAATAAATCTGCATTTTGTGTTTTTATTTTAAATAACATTTGGTGCTAATTTTAACGATGTAACCTCTTTTAAAATTAAAAAAAAAAAACATCAAAATGTTGTTTTCCTTGCAAACTTATCTAAATCGACTCCGCTGTTGATACTTATCATGAATATATATGATTTACAGGGTCCAAAATGACTCCATCAATGCATTTCGATCTTCTGACTAAAACTATGATACCCTGCAAGAGTATAAAAAACCTAATAATATTAAAAATAAATATTAAAAGCTTTAGATTTTGTTCTTTGTAATAATTACAATCAAAGAAAATTCTACTTGAAACCCTTTTCAGATTACCTGCTTTATTTATCGAGGATCGACTGTAGTATCTGAATACCTGGTGCTCAGGTGCAACGATTGGTTGTTGCTGGTGGATTGCTGGATTGTCTGCTGGCATAAACTGTGTCAACAGCAAATTTGAAAAGTTGATTCTAATGTTTACTTAGTGTGGGCCACACTACCAAAACACACACACACTGGCACACACGCACACACTGGGGCATAAATATCAATTTAGCCATGGCACTATGGGGAATTTTGCCATTTCCGTGGTATTTAGTCATTTTATAAAACTTTAAATATTTGAGTTTTTTTTATGTAAACATATTAAAAATATATGGCTCTATAAAATGTAGTACCAGAAATGTTAATTAACAGTGCACTGTTAAGCCTATCCACTGTTAAAGTCGGCTGTTGTAGCCAAAATGCACGTGATTGAAAATAGCTATTTTTTATTCGGTTACTTTGAAATTGAAAAACTAAAAAGTAGAACCAATTTTTGATTAAAGTTTTGATGGAGACCAATAGTACTGGTAATTATTATGTGTTGTGTGTACTAATACATTGATCTGTGCGTGTCTTACTGATATATTGAGATTTTTCTAAGTGTTCCTCTAAGGAAATTTTTTTGAGAAAATATTTAACTTTAAAGAGACCTATAAAAAATATATGTCTTTGTATTGCTGTACGTCCGATATATGTTGTAGAGGCATTCATTCTAAATAAAAGGCAATTTGTCTCAATGTGCACAAATCCGCACAATCTGCGTAATTTAATTTTTTTTGCAGGTCTTTTCGAGCAAATTTTACCAAGAAAAAACCATTTTTCAAGTTAATTACATATAAATATTAATGTGTCAAATCATTTTACCTGTTTAAAAGGCAAAAGCTAATTTTTTTGCATTAATGTAAGTGCCAAATGGAAGTTATTAGCGAATTTGGAGGCCTGGACCTCTTTTATGAAGAAATTGAATATGAAAATTACGTTTTTTATTTTATATCTGACAAAGAGCTTGAAAATTAAGACAATGCATTTTTTTTTATTATGTTTATAAAATATATTATTTAAAAAAAAAAAAATTCACCTTATACACTTAAAAAAATAAAAATAAAAATAAAAAAATCGTCAAGCGAGGGCGGAACCACGCCCATTTTTCCAAAAATCTTTTCTTATGGAGTCCATAATTATAATAAAAAAAACCGTTTCGAAATATATCACTTAGTTTAAAAGTTATTAATTAATACCATAAAAATGGACAAATTCCCCATAGTGCATGGTCCTCGGTGTGTGGCGGCTTAGGAGGCTTCGATGCAGTGTGTCAGGTTAAATAAATCGTAAATT